GTGAAGTATAAAGCTTAGCCTTACCGTCCGTACTGAGCAGGCAGACAGAGAGCAGGAAGGAGAGAGGAGCAGCTTCTGCCAGGATGGAAGGCCTCTTTCATCACCGAGATTACATGTGTCCTCTCGGATTTTTCTAGTCTTTTTTTTCATAGGTTTGTATTATTTTAACACTGAAGTCCGCAACTGATTGTGGTTTTTGTAGTTAGGTAGGCACTTCCCTTTATTCTTTTCAAAGAGTTATGTAGTGGTTCAATCACTATTTGTTGAGATATTTTTTTAATTTTCCTGCTGAATTTAAAGGCCATATATTTGTATAAGAAATTACATTTTAATGTGATCTGTTTCTTGACGTTCTATTTATCCCATTATCTAATTTGAGAAATGGAAATCACCTGCTATCTTCGTGGATAGTACAACTCCATAAAATATTTCTATTCTCTCCAAACATGTTTCTAAATATAAGGTAATTTCACTCAGATCACCAGTTGAGTTGTTCAAAGAAATTGTCATTTAGAATACAGATCCATTCTAAATGTACACGAAAGAATAATTTAAAAGATGCACATTAGGTATTTCAACATATTACCAAATCATAGTGTGTGCCCACAAGTCTGATCACACACACAGGTGGATGAGTTGTGATGAGAAAGTGCTCAAAAACCCACGGAAATTCCCAGAGATGCCCTTTGAGACATGAGGGTTGATTGGTGTTCTCACATAGGAAGTCCGGCAACAGCCAGCTGGACAAGTTTGTGCATGGCAATCATGGACAGAGAGGGAACCGATTATATGGAGTGAGGAGACAAAGACTGCGTGTGTTCCAGGGGTGAGGGAACAGAGACCGCATGCTTTGCTAGAAAGGATCTTTCTTGTATGACCAGACCCCAAGGAACAAAACCTTGGTCAGAGGAGACTGGCTCCTACTAAGATGTTTCCATGGATAAAGGGGGTCTGGATTTGATCAGCTCCAGGCTGTCAGCTCCAGGCTGTCAGCATACCGGAAACTAGCCTGCTGCCCAAAGGAGGGCACCATGTGGACACATGGTTATTCTAGGACAAAAGGTTATAAGCAGGCTGTGCTTCTTTCCAAAAATAGTTAAAAAAACAAAGAAGTGTTTTCAAAGTATGTGAAATTGATGAAAGAATCAGCAAACAGAACAATGGAACTTATGGGGAGTTCAGAAATAGATTCACGTACTCATGGGGCTCTGAGTAGTAACAAGGTGACATCACAAAGCAAAAGAATAGATTAGGTCATAGAAGAAAAGCAAAACTGTAGTCCTACCATTCTCCACATGCAAAAAAGAATTGAAAATAGAATACAGACTTAAAAGTTTAAGTAAATAGAAAACAAAATGTTAAGGAGAAAATCTTTGTGTTTAAATATTAGGAAAAGAAATCTTAAACCAGATATCCAGGTACAAAGGAGAGCAAAATTAAGCTTTTCATCTCAATGAATGATAACTGAGATAGAGTTAGTGTAGAGATGACAATCTAGAAAAGCATTTCTAATATTAAAAATAAATCTTGAAATTAAAAAAAACAGGAAAAAAAATTTAAATTGAAAAAAATATCTGAGAAAGCAATTCACAGAAAAAGAAGACTTAACTGCCTAGAAGTGAATTAAATTATTCCTATATAGGTACTAATCAGATAAATTCTAATTTTGAAAAGATGTGATATCAGTTTGCACTCTTTATGACAAAGCATAAGAAAGCTGAATGAAGCAGTGTTGAATAGGGAAAGCTAATAGGAATATAAACGGTGTACACAATTCTTGAAAACCGTCTGCTTTCAAGTGAAATATTGACAAATTTTATGACCAAGCATGGCCAACCATGTTTACATAACTGAGGCTAATTTGTTTCCTATAAAAGGATGCACTGAAAGAATGCACGTTACGAATGCTCTGTTGGTGATATAGGGAAGCAGTCTCACTGTCCATCACAAGGGGATGTAGATACAGTCAACTAGATTTTCACATAATATATTGAGTGAGAAAGGAAGGCAAAAATGAGATCTTGCAACAAAACACATTTTGTGTAAATTAAAACACATACAGTCATAGTGTATTATTTTTTTTAATACATGAATAGTGGTAAAGTACATGAAAAACAGTAACAGTGAAAGGATGAAGGATAAAGGGGGGAAATAAAATAAAATGAAACTTTTTTGGAGTGTTGAAAACCTGCTATAAAGTGAAGAGTAGAATGAAGCCACCTCTGTGGTTGAATTTCCAAACCATCAATATCATGATCATTATCAAAACAAAAATCCACATAGTAGAGTCCAAATTATCATTCTGCTTGGATATGGGAGCACAAAAAAAGATACCCTCTTGTTTGGTATCTGAATAACTTGAAAAACATATCAGATTTGTAAAGAAGTTAAAGACGTTAATCCAAACAGTGGTGAAGTCTGCCCTACTTCCTTTAACAATTTCACAGGTACTCAGTAAGGCGTCACGTTTGCCAGTTCTAATCGGGTTTCCTATTGGCTCCTATCAGTTATCAATGGATTGTCTTTCAATGACAAAACCACTCTTAATTGCCTATCTATGATAATGTAGGTAAAATTGTTACAAGTTCTCCTTTTCAGGTGGGCACAATGTTCAGTTTTGTCAGTAGAGTGTGCTGGAGAGGCGCTGGAAGAGGAAGACAATTCTCTCACCAGTTTGGGTGTGGTCCTCCAGGCAGAACTGCGATAATCTCTCTCTACAGCACCAGACTGACCAGGTGCTCAGTTTCTGCCGTGCCAGGTGCTAGCAGCCCACGTGGTCTTGCCGCAGAGTTCTGCCCATGCAGCCCCTCCTGCAAAAGGCTCCCTCTGACACCCCTTGGGTGGCTTTGCACTAGAGGGTGTTTCTTCTGGAATTGCCCCATAAATCATGTCTCCAGGTACATCCTCAGGCAGTTCCATGGGAAGATCTGAGGTGCAGTTCCTCTGCCTGGCTGGCTTCCCCTGGCACCCCAGGGAAATTCTCAATAAACACTTCTGACATCGCACCTCCCCATGGGTGGTTTCTCATGCACCTCCCCTGGGGCAGCTCTGTAGCCTCAAAAATTTTTCAGCCTTCCGTTGATCTTTGGAAATGCTCTCTCTTGGAAGGTTTGGATAACAGTCCCAAGAAAAAGACCTCTCCCAGAAGGTTCCTGAATGGATGGCTCTATCTCAGTCCTAGGAGCAGTGACTGCTCCCTGTGTCTTCTAGGGAGTCCCCTCAAGACCTTAGTCAATCTTTCATTTCTGCAGTCTCCTGTAATAGTTAACAGTTGCTTGTAATTACATTTCTCTTTTCAAATAGCTGTGTGGTTTCATTCTCCAAACTGGACCCTGACTGATACACTCAACTGTAGCTCAATAATGAACAAATCACACAGATTTCTTGAATATAAGAAGTTGGGAGGCATAGATGGTACCAGCCAAGAACTTATATCTCTGGCTATGTTTTTTCTTTTTAATGAGAGCTCTTTCAGGCATCATCACCAATATTAATGACACCACTTCTATCCTTGTTATTTATAATAATTATAACAAAAACACTAGTTAGGTTACATTTGCTGAGCCATGTGACAGGCATTGTGAAATGCCAGATGTTGTAATAAACATTTTTGTACATTTTATCTCATTTAATCCTTACAGTTGCACTATAAGGTATATATCATTTTGCGTATTTTAAGGATAAGAAAAATGAAATTCAGGGAGTACAAGTGATTTCCATAGGGTCAGAGCTAATAAGTGGTAATGTTGTTTTCAGTCCAGGCTCTCTAATTTCAAAACTTGTTCCAAAGTCCTATACTACCACCTCACTTGCCAGTTTTCAGTACAAGCATCTCTTATGTATAATGGCTAAATTGTATCCTGTTCACTTGTGGATTTTTAATCTTATATATATCCTTCACAGTGTTCACCAAAGTTCATATTCTATCCTATCTGATACTATTCCCTTTCAGGCAGTTTTGCTTCAGTTGTCTTTCCTACATGAAATTCTCAGAATACCAAACCCATTATTCATCAGTGATTTGGCATATGCTATTGATTTTTTTTCTTTTTCTTTCTCTTTCTTACAAGTATTTACTTATCCTTATCATTTGCTTCATAAGAGGGCTTCACCCCATGATCTCGTAGGCCCTTCTTAACTAGATTCAGCATTGGGGTACTGCAGGGGGCAAGGGCCACTCACAATTTGTATCTTACTTCTAGAATCTAGCATCCACATAAAGGGCTACTGAATGAAGAAATGGAATTAGGGTTCGTGCTGCTGATGGTAACACTATGCAAATAACCACAAGGGCAGAGAAGCCATCAGAGGCAGGATAAGGAAGAGGGCAGACCTCCCCTTGCTTCCTGGAAATGAATGCTAAAGCATCCTGAGGTGACTGGGATTCCATTTTGGGAAGCCTATGCAAGAATTATCAGACGGCAGTGAGTATCAAGACACAGTTATCATGATATTAACAGCCCCCTCCTTCCAATGCAGACTGTGAAAGGGTCAAGGGGAGGCAGCAAATTATGTCCGCCTGCTTTCTGCCCTTTGTGCAGATTTCTGTAGGATGATGGAGGGAACTAGGGTAGCAGTGACCAAGGAGGAGGTATGAGGGGACAGTCAAACATGAGAGGAGAATCTTAGAGGAACAGTGATATCTCGAGGCACAAGAACTTAGTAGACTTAGGGCTGTGAGGTCCTGGACAATAGAAGAGAGAGAAGACATTTATAAGGAAGGCTATATAAAATAACTAATTTAAGTAAAACATAACAAAAGTCTAATCCCTAAACCAAGCCTCAACTTGAATCCTTTTTCTGAGAGAAAACAAGAGTAGGCAGCAGAGTCTGTTTCCCACATATATTAACTATTTATAACCTCTCCTTCCATGGAGTCCAAGGCACAAATATATTTTCCCAAGGTCTGAACTAGCTCCCCATTTTATCTTAATGTCTTGCCCTCCCATGTGCCCACTTGAGTGAAAAGTGCAGAAATTATTTAAATACAGCAGTGCAAGGAAAACAAATGTTCTTTATTAGGCAGAAGCTAGATGCTCAAAGCCTTTCAATTTTCCCATGTTCAGTTGTTTGGCTGTGGAGGCAGAGGTGCCTTTCCTGAAAGCAGGAAAGGTAGCTCAGTGGTACTTGTGGGCCAGGGCATTGGCCACACCAGCCACCACCTTCTGATAGGCAGCCTGCGTTTCCGGGGTGAATTCCTTGCCGAAGTGGCGGGCCAGCACACACACCAACACATTGCCCAGGAGCTGTGGGGAAGAGACAAGAGGCATGTGTTCGGTTAGCTGAGGGGCCCACCTGGGACTCAGAATACTCCAGCCCCATCCTATAAGCAGAAATATAGGTGACTCTTAGATATTCTGACTGCTATGACTCCACCCATAACAGCCTGAATTCATATTGTAGAAATGTTCCTCTCTTCCTGCCCTCACCCAGAACTTATCACTGATGTTTTTTAGAACCATACAAAGAAGCAATAATACATTTGATCCTCCTCACTTTGAAAGGAAGAGATAAGGGAATAAAAGTATTAGATAAAATGTTAAGTGGGTTAAAAAAGAGTTTCTTAATTAAGTATTCAAAAAGTTTAAAAAAAAACAAAAAGAGATGTCGCAAAGAAAAAGAGGAAAACAAGAATGAGTAAGAGGAAAATATGGTTGTGACCAAAGAGCATAAAATACACTAGTCTTGAAGATCCAGAGAAATGCAACCAGAAACCTCTTTTCCATTCTAACAGCATCCTGCCATTGAAGCCCTCTCCCATGATGAGGAAGAAGAGAACCTTGAGGCTCCCACAGACTCACCCTGAAGTTCTCGGGATCCACATGCAGCTTGTCACAGTGCAGCTCACTAAGGTGAGCAAAGGTGCCCTTGAGGTTGTCGAGGTTCTTCAGGCCATCACCGAAGGAGTTGAGCACCTTCTTGCCGTGGGCCTTCACCTTAGCATTGTCCATGATGGCAGCAGCACTGGACAGGTCGCCAAAGGAGTCAAAGAACCTCCGAGTCCAGGGGTAAACCACCAGCAGCCTAAGGGCAGAAAACAGCACAGACGGCAGAGGGAGTCAGGGCCTGTCAGACACCGGGGGACTGCACTGCCTGCATGTATTCGGCTTCCAGTCATCTCTTTATGCCTGCCTTGTGACCTGGATACCAACCTGCCCAGGGCCTCACCACCAACGTCATCCACGTGCACCTTGCCCCACAGAGAGGTGACGGCAGTCTTCTCCTCACCAGTCAGGTGCACCATGGTGTCTGTTGGTGTGGTTGCTAGTGAGCACAAATGTGTCAGAAGCAAGTGTAAGCATCAGCTGGGCCCTGCTCTTCCTTTTATGCCCAGTGTGGCTCCTGCCCTCCCTGCCCCTGTGAGCAGATTGGCCAGGGCCAGGGTGTGGCTGGGCAGATTAAGTAAATCCCAGGCGATGATATCCATACATGCCCTTGGCAGCTCTGACACTGGCCTATGAGTTTCTCTCTAGGCATCTCTAGGTCCCTTTCCAGCAATATAAACTGCTACTAAAATCATCCTCCTTGGCAAGTTTACTTGTTCAATTTTTGGAATCACAACCTGGTAGTCTCTTAGAGAATGCGTCCGCAATTTTCTTGATTGAAAATGAAGACTCTGAGGTCCAGAAAATGGGAGGGATTTGCTTGCTGTGGTTCAAAGTGAGACTATATGGATAGATCTCCTTTAGAATCTTGAAATTCTAGATTTCTACATAGTCTTCAGAATACATGCAATAACACAGGACAGCATGGATGAAACGTCTGCCCAGTTCTAAGTATGCATTTCTTTTCTTGGTTTGCATTAAATCCTCCTGGTAAGAAAACAAATATCCATTCATTCATTTATTCATTTTTTTTCTTAATTTTGTCATATAGCTAAATATATGACGAGTGAACAATAGAATAAATATGAATCAGGAGAGTCCTGTGAAATAGTTATTCTGTTGGGTTTGGGGAGCCCACAGGTGGAAACACAGAGATCTCTGAATGTAGTAAGAAATACAAATAACTGAAAAATCAACTACAATCCAAAATTGTTAGTAACACTGACAGAAGCAATGTTTTCATAGACTAACCAGGGACATTTAACTTGGTTTTTCCTAGTCTGATCAGAGAAAGCCTGGGAAAACAGAGAATCCTCTCTGTGACTTAAAAAGAGGGGTAGGTACATGGAAAGGCATTCTGGCCTTGGCTCAGAAATTCTTTCCCTAGACCACTAGGAGTGCTGTGTATATAATAATTTTTCTGTATTTGAATTCATCATCCATAATCCCATTTTCTCTATGTATTTTTGTGTCCAAACCTTATTTTACTGAAATGTACTCTTCTGTCTCTACAGCCTTTCCAGTAACCACCCACACTCCTTGTTGTCCATGTAATAAATTCTGTTAACTTCTTAGGCTAAAAATCTTCTAAAGTTTAAAGACATGATGGAACAAGCACAAGCGGCAAGCTTGTCTGTGCTCAGCGTAGGATCTCAGTGTTCCCTGACGGCCTGCTCCTCACTTGCCCTCCTTACTGTCAGCTCTGCCTCCTGCATCTTTCTTTCCCCTCCTCAATTCCCATTTCCTTTCAGCAAGGAAAGGGCCAGACAGTTTTATTTACTAGTGTTTCTCCTACCTTAGAATCTTAGAATCTTCTCCTGATTCAGGCATGCTAATGTCTAAATTCACCTTTCTTTCTCCTTTGCCATCACTGGAAACAAATATTTAACAGAAATCTCTCATCCTTTCAGCTCTGCAACTCTGAAACTCCAACTACAAAAACGTTTTTAGATGAACCAAGAGAAAAGGACTTCTCTGTTTCTAGTTGTTCCAAATATAATCACAAATTTCCCCTTCCACTGATCCATTCCCCAGCATATTTTTCTCTATCGTTGCTAGATAAGATTCCTCACCCCTTTCTTCCCCAAGTGATTGTGAACGAACTCTGATCATTATCAGACATACAGAAAAGACTGGCTCAGGTCTGGCTGCCTGAAGGTTAGGGCAGAACTATATGCCCATCTAAGAGTTTGGGCATAAAAGAAGTAGTAGCACTTAAACATTTTCTGCTTGTATTCATTCTTCTCTAAGATTCTGAAGCAAAGAGGATCTTACTATTGGTCTTCCCTGGGAAAAGATTCCACATGTTGACTTCTGGGAAAAGAGGTCTTTAAAATGTTCCAAATGTTTAAAGGAAAAAATGGTTTGACCTTTAAATTTTGAGTTTCATTTTGTTAAATGTAAACCTCCTTTAGCTTTATCATTGTTTTCCATTCAGACTTTAGCCTAGGCCCCATTTCACACCCCTGATATCAGAGCAGGCATATGCATGTGAAAGGAGCTCTTCTGGGGAGTTTAAACATGCTTTCTGTAGGAACTCTGTGTCATGAAACACTTACAGACCTTATTAAATAATAGTACAGAATAGACTTAGATCTTCCTCTAATAAACCAGACTGTCAAGGCCACAGCTTTCCATCTGATTGACAGAAGTTACCACCTACTTTAAAGACTTCCCATGTCACTTCCTGTTTCCTGAAAAGTCCCCCTAAGTTCTCCCATTGTGTCTTCTTCCTTAGGCTTTCTCTTGCCATGGGTGACAAATGGGCCACTCTTCAGTCCTGGCAGCTGAGGCAGCTGCCATCATCTTGACTTCAAGACAGAAGAAGCTGCTCTTCAACACCACTACTGCTTAGTATAACTAACAAGTGACACAGACCTCTCCTTTTATACCCAGAACCCTGCAGGGACAGGCTGCATATTGAAATAAGACATCAACAGCACAGACATGCCAGACAAAAGTAAGAAAGAATGAACAGAGATAAGTGACAAATAGTTCAGAGTCTCAGGTTCAAATCCAGATCAGCATTTAAAGGTTCTGCAATGATTCTTGGGCACACTGCCATCTTTACCATTGTAAGCTTAGCTTGAACCTGTGAAGGGCTGCCACAGGATGTCTGCTATACTTTGATTCCAGCCCCACTGAGCACTAAACACACACACACACACAGAGTCTCCAAGCCCCTGAGAGAGACAGAGAGATAGATCTCTGTCATGCCAGTATCCTCTCTAAATTTAACCCTTTTATGAAAGTTGATAGGCTCTGGAGGTGGAAGTGTCACCCATTAGTGATGCTGTGTAGTCCCCTTCTCTTTCTCATTTCCCTTGACCCCTCTGGGTAAGGTACAAGCACTCCCTGTCTGCACATCTGCAGGGACTTTCCTGTAACTCTAGAAAAAAAAATGAAAATGAAATGAATCAAGAAGTTAACCTGAAAGTTCTTTATTAGGAAAAAGCCATATACTTGAGGGTGGACATTATTTCCCCAAGTTCAGAATATAGAACCTAGAGAAATAAGGCCTTTCGATGGTGACCAGGAAACTGGCCAGGATCTCAACGGTATTTGTGAGCCAGGGCATTAGCCATACCGGCCACCACTTCTGGGATGAATTTCTTGCCCAAGTGGCAGGCTCACACATACACCAGCACATTGCCAGGGGTGCAGAAAAGGTAAATAAGCATACATAGAGGATTGACAGAGAAACTAAGCTTGGCTTGCGAGACTGAGCCAGCAATTAGTTTTTTCTGCCCACACTGTAGCCTAAATTGTTCCTCAGGTTATCCCTGTCAGCATAAATGAGTAAATACATACATACATGTGTGCATGTATACACATGCTCATGCACACAATATGTACATATCTATATTATATATACTGACTAATTGATTAATTAGTGTGAATGTGGGCTCTCTTTCAGCAACTACTGCTGTCCTATTGCACTATTTCTAGTCCTTCATCCTCAGTCATTTTCCTTTCCTTTCCCTTGAGTATTGACTCTATTATGTTCCAATTATTCTTCAGTATTGAAATGATTTATAGCATTAGAACAGCATCTTGAGCATCTCCTCCTTGAGGAGCCTTTACAATCCCCTTATGAGAGAAACAGAAGGATTTTTCCAAGTGCAGACTAGGAGATGAGAGTTGCTGTGTATAATTTGGATATTGGGTAGGGGAAAGGAAGTTAAGAGGGAAAACAGAGGCAAAAGATAAGGCAAATAAAGAGCTTGATAGAAAAGCAAGGTTGTGAAAAAGGAAACAATATGGAATATTGAAAGAAAAATACAAAACTATGTAAATCTTGAAAAACTTTGATGACACATACTGAAGCATTAAGGAATGTGGAGGAAGAACAGGTAGGTAAAGAAGCAGAGGGAAAGACTAGAAAGAGAAAAGGAAGAGGTGGATCCTCTTCTGGACTCACCCTGAAGTTCTCAGGATCTGTGTGCAGCTGGTCACAGTGCATCTCACTCAGCTGGGAACAGGTGCCCTTGAGGTTGTCAAGGTTTTTCACGTCGTCATCAAGGAGTTCAGCATCTTCTTGTCATGGGCCTTCACCTTAGTGTTGCCCATAATGGCAGAAGCATTGGACAGGTCCCCAAAGGCCTCAAAGAACCTCCGAGTCCAGGGGTAAACCACCAGCAGCCTAAGGGCAGAAAACAGCACAGAGGGCAGAGGGAGTCAGGGCCTGTCGGGCACCCAGGGGGCTGCGCTGTCTGCACGTGCCCCAGTGGCTTCCAGTTGCCCTCTTTACACCTGCACAGCTTGTAACCTAGACACCAACCTCACGAGGGGCTTGGCACCAACACTCACCAAATCTCGCTTGTCCCACAGAGCAGTGGCGGCGGCCTTCTCCTCAGCACTCAGATGCACCGTGGTGTCTCTTTGTATGGCTGCTAGTGAGCATGGTTTTGTTGAAACAGGTGTACGCTGCAGCTGGCCCTGCTCTTCCTTCCATGCCCAGCCCTGGCTCCTGCTCTTGTGAGCAGATTAGCCCAGGAATAACAGAAACCTGTTGGTTTGTGTAAATGTAAGATGCACCCTCATTCTTCAGTCCACTTCAGCTGGGCTGTTGATTGGCTGCTCTGTTTGTGTGCATTGACTCAGAAACCCTCTCCCCCTCTACTTCTCTACTTCATATACCTCAGAGGTTGTTTCTGCAAATATACTCCCATTTATGCTAAAATGTTTAGTCTGTATAGTGGAATGCATCTCACAGTTTAACTCATCCAATTCTTTCACTTTATAGGCAAGAAAACTAAGGTCTAGCAAGCAGAATTTTTATTAACTTGACTCTATTTGGAGCTTCTCTTTGCCTTTAAAAAGCTTTATCAGTGGTTGGAAAGGATAAGTATTTTGCCATAGTTTTAACTCACTCTCTTTCTTCTTCTTTAAATAAATACCTGTGATCACAAAACTCCTTTTTTTCCACTCTTTCATTGAAATAAATGTCCATTAAAAGAAAGAAAAAGAATGAATATTATCTCTCTGCCAGCTACTGAAATAGGTTTGGGGCACATGGTTTATAATGGGAACAATTTAAGGAAAGACAAGGAAAAATATCTGGTACCTATGTAATTGTTTCAAACTATGATATGACTACAGAAAAAATGCAGAGGAACTCCCAGAAGATTTACCTTATTCAGCCAGATTAAGTCTGATAGGGTTTCTGGGAAAATGTAAGTGCAGAAATGTTCACAGCTGTGTCTTCAGGGGAAAAAAAATGGAGTGAATCAGAAATGAAAATTCAAAGGGAATTTCTCTCTTTTCACAAATCAAAATAAAACTACAATGACATGACATACCCACCAGCATAGGGAGGGAAAAAAATATGAAAGAAGAGGAGAGGAGAGAGAGACTGGTTATTCCAAAATTTGTCAGGGATGTAGATCAACAAAAACTTTTGTAATCTGGTGATGAGAATGTAAAATAGTATAACTGCTTTGGAAAGGATCTGGTAGTCTCTACAGCAGCAGAATATTTGCAAAACCTGTGACCTAGCAATTGTTCTTCTACATACACAGAAATGCATGCTTGTGTACACCCAAAGACATGCATAGATATGCATAAGAATCTCAAACTAGTAGCAATTTACATGTTCCTCAGTCATTTTCCTTTCCTTTCCCTTGAGTATTGACTCTATTATGTTCCAATTATTCTTCAGTATTGAAATGATTTATAGCATTAGAACAGCATCTTGAGCATCTCCTCCTTGAGGAGCCAACATATCTGTGAAACAGATAAGTTATGGTATAGTAAAAGAATGAAATATTACACAGCGCTGAAGAGAATCAACTGTTGCTTCCCCTGCAGCAATACTGATAAATTACACAACAAAATGTTGATTAAAACTAACCACAGACAATAACACAAACTGTGTGATTTATATAGGAAAAGATGGTCAGTATGGTCTACGATTAAGATCACAAAGGCAAGTGTTACATGATAGGAAGGCACAGAGGAGACATGAACTATCTTTAAATTATGTTACAAATTATTTTTATTTAACCCAAAAGCCAAGAAAAACTACTGAAAAACTCAAGGAAGCAGGTGGCATGGTTTGATCTGTGTTTCTCAGAAAGTATTCTAGCTTCAGTGTATAAATGGATTTTAGGGGTAGAATAAATGAGAGACAAACAGTTAGGATAATATTGTAGTAACCAGGGATGTAAAAATACCATGTTCATTACCAGGCTTGAACAGGGATGGTGTGTTAGTCCCTGAGATGGGGACACCAGAAGAGGGCAAAGTCAGCAGGAACAAGTTAGAAAAAGATCAAGAATTCACTCTTAGACACACTGTATTTGATGCACTCTTGAACAATCTAAAATGGGATTTTAAGCAGATAGTTAGCTATGTGGGTGTGGGAGTCAGATAGAATACAGTCAGGTCAGGAACACGCAATGAAACAGCACCCAAAGGAACAGGTCATAGTTTACTGTATAAGCCACTACAACTGTCTCATCAAAAATGACAGACAGCACACTTCACAAGGTATCCTTGAAGCCTTGGGACATATTTGTGAGGTAGGAGTCATCTCATTTTACAAATGAGAAAATTCTTAAACATATTAACTAAACATTTCAAGGTGGTGGGGCTGTAATTTGAATTTGATTTCATTAACTTTGGCTGTTAATCCCAAAGCCCTGGTTTTTCACCTCTACACTAGGGACTTGGGTACAGGAATTTGAAGGGATTGTCACAAAAGTGACTGTGTTCATTGCCATCTCCCAACAAGAAACTTCCAGGAATTTTCTGTTTGGGATATAGATGTCCTACCAATGAATGGCATCACACGGGAACCTGGCTATCATCTGTGACTTTTCCACTCTATTTCACTATGTTCTGAGTTCTGCTGAATATTTGCCACAATGGCCCCTTACCTGATATTTTTCTTAGTTTCATTGCTCCTATCAAATCCAGCCCTTTGCCCATCACTTTGCTACTGTCACAGCAAACTCAAATGGCTTTATCCAAGGGTAGAGCTTGCCTTGTCAGTTTTATACTCACACATGGATCAATTTCCCAGAAATTCCTTGTTTAGTGTGTCACTGTCATGTGCAGGGAACATCACTGGTTCTCTTTGCTTGTTATAGCTGCTCTCCCTGCCTTCTGGGCTCTCCAGCAGATTCAGTAGTTTTATTCCACCCCGCTGCTTTTGAAGGGCCTGTTTCTCTTCTGTCTCTTAGACTTGGCATGCTGATGCCTAATTTTGTTATTTTCCCACAGAAATTGCCTTTTACCTCCAACAAAGCCTAAACTGAATTAGAAGTATGTTCCAGGTCACAGAGGTAGCAGGCCAAGTACAGACTCAAACCAAAGCACTCAGTTCATATGCCTCAGGGATGATTCCTCCATTGAAATCGTTTAGGACACTAGGGAGAAGTTTAGAGTATGGCCCTTGACTGGATGTCTGGGAAGCCCCATCTTCACTGTGTTATAGCTGATAAAAAGATGTTTCTTATATTAAGCAGATATGAACCAAAACTCCTAAAGAGTTATATCTTGAGTTTATACAAATGACAGCCTACACAGGTTGCTTATTTTGAGTCATAACATGCCTTTTTCACTATCAAAGATATCCTAGCATCTCTCAAGAGTACCTCCATTCCTTCTTTTTTTCTAAAGACATTGTCCAACTCTATTCTCTACACTCCCCAAACTCCCAATATCCTATCCTCCCATCCCATAGGAGTGCTTTCTTTTAGCTGAATGAACATAAAGGATAAAGACAGAGAAGACAAGAAATCCTTATACAGAATTATTTTATTTTATTTTTATCATGTAGGAGTTAAGTGTGGAGGCAGAGCACTGTCCTCCATCTTTAGGAGATGGGCTCTTGGAACACGGGGTGCCAACACGGACAGACAACTCAGTGGTACCTGTGGGCCAGAGCACTGGCCACAGCCATTGTCAGCTTCTGCCAGGCAGCCTGCTTCTGTGGGGTAAATTCCTTGCCGAAATGGGTTGCCAAGACAATCAATATCATGTTGCCTAGGAGCTGGGGAGATGGAGAATAAAAGGACAATAGTACTTAGTGAATGGAAGGCCTTAAACTGGCCTTGCAACAAATAGATGTAACAACAGTTTGTTCCATGATAATTTTTTGAGTCAACCTTCTGGGTCATGTTCTCACAAAAGTGCATCACCGCAGGCTCGACATTGACTTCAGTATGTCTCCCAGCCCTGCACCTCCCATTGTGTTCTGTACTTCTCTCGTTTGCCCTGCCAACATCCCACCCCAGAACATTGCTATGGATTGCTACTCTCTGTTAGACACTGTCTTTATTTAAAGTGAGATTATAATAATGCAAGGGGCCTTAATATTATGTATTCTAAGTCCCCAGATATTACATACATTCAAATTGTTTGGACATTCATGACAAAGAACACTGTGTCATGGATATAAGAGTATCTCATCGCTGCTAACTGGCTGGAGCAGGGGGAAGGCAAACCGCAGTCACTCATTGAAAAGATTGCTGTTACTTTGCCCTGCTTAGTTCTGGTTCTAAACTCAAGAACCATGCAAAAATGTATTCATCAATTTCTATAGAAAGCTTCAGTTACCAAAAGTATTATATTCTCCTCCCTGGCTCAATTAGTATTCTCCAGGCCAAAACACTTAGCTCAGTTTTGACTAGCACCCTTCACAGCATGTAATTTTTCAGAAATATCAGATGGCCAGTGGTTTCACTGGTCATAGTAATTACTCTACTTGGTTTTACCAATGACCTTTGAAACAACCTGATTACCAAACTCAAACCCTTTCCTGAAACATTACCTCCTCAGAATATCTCTATAAGGTTAAGACGTCAGTGCCTGTGTTGCCTAATATATTCACAGCACAGAAATCTAAGACAAAAGAGCAAAGTAAAGCCTGCCCAGAACTCACCCTGAAGTTCTCAGGATCCACATGCAGCTTGTCACAATGCAACTCACTCAGCTTAGCAAAGGTACCCTTGATATCATCCATGTGCTTAACAGCATTTCCAAAGGAGGTCAGCACCTTCTTGCCATGGGCTTTGACCTTGGGGTTGCCCATCACTGCAGAGTCAGAGGATAAGTTGCCAAAATTGTCAAAGAACCTCTGGGTCCATGGGTAGACAACCAAGAGCCTGTGGGATGATCATTATAACAGAGCAGATAGAAAACAGAGTATGTAAGAAACCTGGTAAATCCCTCTTACAGGAACACTTTCTGTCCCTTCCCTGGCCTCCACTGCTTACCTTCCCAGGGCCTCACCTCCAGCCACCTCCACATTAACCTTGGCCCACAGGCTAGTGATGGCAGCCTTCTCCTCAGCAGTAAAATGCACCATGGTGTCTGGAAGCTTAGTGGTGATCACTTGTGTGCCAGAAGCAAGTCTGTGCTGCTGCATCTCTGTGTGGCCTTTTATTTCTCATTTCTGGTCCCCAGACCTTTGCTTCTTCTGATAAAATGAGACTATTGGTCAAAGGTCGGTTGTCACCCAGGGGTGGGATTTGTTGACCCAAGGGATGGTCAACAAGATGGACATTTGTGTCTCTGATAGTGTTGGTGGCTCTATCAGGGGCGTTCTGCTGTCCTTTCCCCAACCACCTATTATGCAATTCTTATCTTAAGCTCCCCATTGCCAGTATCCCTGAAGTGACCTGTAGGCTGACCACTGCATGACTGGAAGTAGGACGGATAAGAAATCTTTTGGGTATTGTGTCAGGTGTTTACAAGACATCATTCTGTTGTTCACTTAAGGTGTAGAAGAAGCCACAGATCTTCTTGGTTACTAATTTTTCTTAAGTTTAAATGGGGCTCAGACTTTTAAAATTCTTCCATGCCAGAAAAAAAGACCCCAATCCAGCATCAGTTTAGAAAAAGGACAAGTAATAACTGAGTAATTTAGAGAAGAATTGAGCATTATCCTCATTGTTGCTGAGTTATATTAATTTATGCACTTGTCTGAGTAAATTTTTTTCACTCTGATTATACAGACAAGTGTGAGTGTTGGGAAAAATATGTGTTTCTGTGTTCAATGAACAGTATTGAAAGACTCCATGGATTAAGGGAGTTGTCTCTGGCATGTGCTAGGTCCTTGTTCTCCTGCTGTATTTAACTTTTGCTCATTTCTAGTCAGGCAGGGCAATCTTCATCATCAGACTTCTGTCCTTGTGACCTAAATTACTTTGGTCTCATGCATCTCAATCAAGCATTCATAGGACTAGACAAGGCATACTTCCAGTGGGAGAGGGAATGGTTCCTTTATTTTATTTTTTTCTCATTTTGAGCTCCAGGAAGCTGGCCGGTTTCTTTTTCCCTGACTTCAATCTTACCAAAAACAATGACAGTTTAACAAATAATCTCCACATGTGTATTTACAGAATAACTCTAAAATTTAAAGTGTTTGACACAATATATTAGAGCTAAATTTCTGCTATTAGAAAAGAAATCCTTTCCATTTGATATAGTGGGAGACTTTCATCTGTTCAGCTTGGAAAAGATTTAAATGTAAATGTGGATAAGAATGCTAAGATGCCAGAAGCTGGTTTACCATGATAGACTTGATTATCTGTAAGCTCTCAGTCCCCAGCTATGCTGAACACTTTGAAAGAGATATAAAGTAAAAAGCTTGATAAAATTGCAAAAGGATTTCTTCAAGAGAAAAGGTCAAGGAAGTACCAAAAAGGAGAGAAAACTTTGACTGCAACTAAGAATCCCACTTACACTCACTTGTGGGCCTGTCCAGAGATGATGGCTCAGGGCACTTGCTCTAATGGCCCCGATACTCATTTCCAACAGGGGGCATGCTCACTGCAATCCCTCAGAGTCAGGAGCTTTTGCAATGCTGAATGTTGATGAATAACCTCCCATCTTTCCAGCAAATCAGACAGTGATTCTGGCAGTTAACTCTAATTTCTGCTTCTCTCTTACCCTGTTCAATCACTTTCCAAGACTTTTTTATTGTTTTTATTCAAGGTTGTTCCATACTTCCAATATATTTCCATGCTTTCTGCTTCCACTGCCATCTAGATGCTTATCACATCAGCGCTAAATCATCATCACAGTCATCTAACAGTTTCCCTATCATTCATTACATATTTAAAAAAATATGGCTGACAATCATGCCGTTCATTGTTTTAACACTGGGAATCTTGGATGAACAAAACAGCTTATCTCGTCTCATTAAGTTCACATTCTAGTGGGCGTTCTAATAATCAGACACATGAATGAGTAAGAGAATCTCAGATGGTGTTATATGACAGGAAGAAAATGTGTCTGATGGTATGGTGGCAAATGACGAAAGAAAAATAATGTAAGGATAGATGTCCTAAAGGAAGTTATGTTTGAATTTGGACCTTAATCACAAGATACAGCCTGGCCTGGGTAGTTTGGAGAATTAAGTTCCTGGAAGCAGGAAAGGCAAGTACAAAACTCCAAGTCTTGAGAGAAAAGGAGAAAAAAAGGAAGAACAAATGGGATTTCATTTAAAGAAAGGCACTGCAAGTCAGAGTAAAGTATGGTAAGAAAAGAGGGGTAAGAAGCAAGGCTGGAGAGCTGACCCAGGGCTTGTTATTTAAGAACACGAGAGTCGAGTGAGGATTTTATTCTAAGGCATGGGAAACCAGTAGAGATTTGTGAACCTGACATGAGTTATGAGCTCCAGTCTACTCAGCACCCACAGCCACACTATCTTCCTAACTATCTTATCCATTGCATTGCACTCCTGACTAGAAACCAGTATTAACTACCAGTCATACAAAAATTCCTGTGATCTGTCCTCCCCAACTACTCTATGCAATTTATTTTGTGTTCATTTTAATCTTACAATGCTGATCATTGTTCTGAGATGGCTTCTGAGCTTCTTCTAGTTCATTTCCTTCACCTACAACTTTATCTGTCCCCACTTTACAATGATCTCTCTTCCTTGAAAT